AATAAGCACTTGCACTGAACACCCCACAGTGAACACCCTGCAATAAGCACCTGCAGTAAGCACCCTGCAATAAGCATCTCAGTGAGCACCCCACAATGAACACCTTACAGTAAGCACTTGCAGTGCAGTGAGCACCTGCAGGGCAGTTCTAGCTCTAATGCCATAGTCTTGTACAGCGTGTTGTATGGGAAAGGATGGATGAGATACTTGGATACTGAGGACAGCATTGGTAGAATCTGGGACCAGCTACCAATCCCCGTCTGTTTGTTTTTCTAGAAACCCGAGATGATGAGCCTGTGTGTGGGAGACCCCTGGGTATCCGTGCAGGGCCCAATGGGACTCTCTTTGTGGCTGACGCATACAAGGGACTATTTGAAGTAAATCCCTGGAAACGTATGTGATAATGTATTGTTTCCTTCTATGATGATTTTAGATCTTTTAAATAGTATATGTATGTATAGACTTAATAGGATTTGTTAACAACAGTCTGCTAAAGACTCTGATATTTCTTATTCACTGAAAGTACTGAAAGCATTGCCTGCAAAAGTCAGCTAGTTTTAAACACCAGAAAACTCCCTACCCATGATTGCATTTGGTCCATACCCTAATTTCCTCCAAGCATTTATATTTTAGCCACAGGGTCTCAAAAGGTCTTACTTTGAGGAAGTTAGACCTCTTTCTGTCTTTATTTTTCTGTGTGTCTCTCTGCATCTTGTCTATTTGTTTTCTCTCTTTTTCTTCTCTGTGGCCCTCCCCTTTGTCTCTGCCTTTCTGTTTTCTCCTGTAGTTCCTCCTCTTCTTTCCCCTGACTGCTCATGAGTCCCCTTGACCAGACTGTAATATGTGCTGTGTGTCTCAGTGGAGGTTCCTGCTGGGAAGGAGTCTATTGTCTTGTGCAGTGCATGGGAGCCCGAATATAGGCCCTGCAGCCCAGCTGCTTGGGGCTGTTCCACTCTGCTGGCCACCAGCTGTGACTGCAGGTCCCTTGACTGCTCTGTGTGCAGCTTCCTCATCAAATTGGGGTCATAGTAGCCCTGCCCGTGGGATTGTTGTGAAGGTTTAAAGGCGGTCACACCTCAAGAGTGCTTAGCACTCAGTCCATGTTCTTTCTATTATTTTTCAGAACTTATACTACTGCTTTTTTTTTCTAAAAGCAGATGAGTAGACTATGTCATATTTTTCTCAAATAGAACTACAGCCTGCCTAACACTTGCAATATATGTTATCAAGTCAGTTGACCTTCCAGGTCAATTGACCTAGAAGAAAGAATTCCTCATCTTTATAGAAAAGATTCTGCCTTTAATGAAGTTAGTCTAAAAAAAAATCATTTAATACCTAATACTGTTTTTACTATAAGAAGGAATGAATCTTCTGACATATGACATGGAGAAGTTTCAGTTTTTCTTTTTAAATCAGGCTGGTTAATATTTTGAAATTGTTGAAAAGAAAGTTCCTAGTTCAAGTCAATCTTTTTCTTTCTTTTGAAACTTCAGGTGAAGTAAAACTGCTGCTGTCCTCCGAGACACCCATTGAGGGGAAGAAAATGTCCTTTGTGAATGATCTTACGGTCACTCAGGATGGGAGGAAGATTTATTTCACTGATTCTAGCAGCAAATGGCAAAGACGAGACTACCTGCTTCTGGTGATGGAGGGCACAGATGACGGGCGGTGATCACGGCCTTGCTCCAGGTCTCCCATTTGTTGAGTTCACCAGCCAGGCCAGCTGCTTCAGCAGAGCCTGTTACTTCTAGGGACCAAGGGAGTATTTCCAGCATCATATTTCAGCTTCTAGTACAGGACCTTTGTGGCTTCTGGAGGCAGGTGATGGATGTCACAGAATGAAACAAGGTGCTTTCGTTTTCTCTGAGGAAATAAAACAGGCCAGTCCATCTGAGGGTGCAAGTCTAGGCAGTCAGGAGAAACCCTGGAGGCAGGCCAGGGCTTTGAGTTGCCTCTCTGGGGGAGACTCCTGTCCGGCTCCCAGGTCAGCAAGAGAACTTGGGATTCTCTGGAGGGGACACTGGATCTGCTCTGGATGGGGAAGGGCCCCCAGGGGCCAGCCTTGAATCAAGTTTGAGCAGGGGACCCAGGGCCTGATGTTTCAGGTTGAGGTGGAGTCACCTTCTGCAGGCCCATGCCCTGAAGGCCCAGAGTGGGAGCCAGGGGTTCTCCCGCATAACCCTCTGCTTTTGGTGTTCCACAGCCTGCTGGAGTACGATACTGTGACCAGGGAAGTAAAAGTGTTACTGGACCAGCTGCAGTTCCCGAATGGAGTCCAGCTGTCTCCTGCAGAGGACTTTGTCCTGGTGGCAGAAACGACCATGGCCAGGATACAAAGTTGTGTGTGGGATTAACTGAGCCGTCAGTTGCTGGCCAGAGCGCATCATGGCGGGGTAGAGTGGGCGTGGAAATGGGATCGACAGAAATCAGAGGCAGCAGTGCACCTTCTGCATGGCATGTTAAAGAAAATTCAAGGGTGCACTTTTCTTTCTCCCATTGCGAGTCGTAGTCTGGGAGTGTCTTAAGGCCAGCTGGTGCAGCCCGGGCCCCATTCCCCTGCTGGCAGGGCCTTGGTCATCCCCCGACTTGCTTCCCCTCTATTCATGCTGGGCCCTGTGCACAAAGGTTTCTTCTCAGCAGCTGTGCCTTTGTTCATGATGGACATAGAGCACTTTCCATATATATAGTTGGACCAAGACCAGTTTGGTGCTTGGCTAAAATTTTTATCTTAAATTGAGGGGCTATGGCTCACTGTCTGCTTGGGTGAATTTTTCAGAGTCTATGTTTCTGGCCTGATGAAGGGCGGGGCTGATCTGTTTGTGGAGAACATGCCTGGATTTCCAGACAACATCCGGCCCAGCAGCTTTGGGGGGTACTGGGTCGGCATGTCAACCATCCGCCCTAACCCTGGGTTTTCCATGCTGGATTTCTTATCTGAGAGACCCTGGATCAAAAGGATGATTTTTAAGGTAACTATAAAAACTGTTACTCCAAGAAAGAAAATGGAAGTGAATGGAATCATATTTTTTTGACCCTTATAGCTTAAAAATCTAATTCTGCTTGTAGTATTTAGCTCTGAATGACACTTAGAAACACATTTTATTCTTCATCCTGAAATGCAGATTTAAACATTTGGACCCTTTGGTTCTTCTGGTTTCCCTGTTTCTGGGTGTTGTGATTGCCACCCTCACCATCATGGCTGTGGGCATCCGCCTGCCTGTCAGTCTCGCTCCTCCATCTGCCATGGCTGTGCCAGGCCTTCTCTGCTCTCCGCCCTCCTCTCTGCCTCCTCAGGGAAAGAGTCGGAAGGTGCCCCTTCCTCCCCTCCCTGCAGGTGTGGCCACCCCTGTAACCCAGTCACCACAGCTGCCGTCGCGCCTGCTGTCTGCTGCCTTCTTGCAGCCTCACTGCCAGGCACCCTTCTCTATGGAGTTCTGCCCTTTGACCTCCCACCACACCCAAATCTTTCCCTTTAAAAAAAAAAAGTCACCCACCCCCACCAATGGCCAGCCATAGCCCCTTCAACACAACAGCCCCTTCAACACAACAGCCCCTTCAACCCAACAGCCCCTTCACCCCAGCCTTTAAAGCTTGCCGTTTTCCCAGTGGCTTCCATGAAGCACCCCACAGCACCCCACATCATAACTCAGCACGTTTACACTGTGGAGGGATCACTTGCTGACATGGGCGCTTGTGTAATATAGAGATCTGCTTTTCCAGCAAGCTCCATTTCACAGGCTGAATAGGTATTTGAAGTTGATACTGAATATTTGAACTGATATGGAAATACTAGCTTACGGTCCTGGGGCTGACAGGCAGCAGTTGCTGAGTCCTACTGCAGGGCTGTGTGCCTGAACCCCTCCTGGGGGCTGCGTGCACATTCTCAGACTGGCTCACGGTCTTCAGTGATGTGAGTTCTGTGGGTTGCTGTGTGAGAAGTCCTAATCTGTTGAGAAATCTGTCCTTCTCTTTGCCTTATTGGCTCCAGAGATATCATCTGTTCCTGCTGGCACCTAGGGGGAGGCAGAATAGCAGGTGGGCTAGCACAGGGGTTTTGGAGGCTGCCAGACCAGCTGTGGGACCCTGGGCCAGAGACTTGGACTCTCTGCCTCAGGTACTCTGTCTGTAAAGTGGAAAGAATAATAGCACCACATCAGGTGCTGGGAACGTTTAGTGAGAATCCGCACATAGCGCTCTTAGCTTAGGGTAGTGTTAGTGGTGGTTGTTTGTGTCTCTTCCCCTGAATAGAATATCCATACCATCAGAGCAGGTGTTTTTCTGCGTAGTTCATTTGTCATCCTCCACACCTGCAACAGTGCCTGGCACATGTAGGCGTGAGGACGTACCGTTGATTGAGGGCATGGTTAGGGAGGGGGCTGCAAGCATGAGGGAACACGGAATCTTCCTGCAGCTGGGTGAGGAGGGGTGAGAGGGAGAACCACAGCCCCATGGACTTGGAAAGAAGGTTCAGTTTTATTCAAAATGTAATCCAAGTCATTGAAGATTTTTTTGTTTTTTGTTTTTGAGACAGAGTCTCGCTCTGTCACTCAGGCTGGTATGTAGTGGCACAATCTCGGCTCACTGCAGTCTCTGCCTCCTGGGCTCAAGTGATTCTCCTGCCTCAGCCTCCTGAGTAGCTGAGACTACAGGCATGCACCACTACGCTCGGCTAATTTTTATATTTTTAGTATAGACGAGTTTTCACCGTGTTGGCCAGGCTGGTCTCGAATGCCTGACCTTGAGTAATCCACCCACCTCGGCCTCCCAAAGGGCTGGGTTTACAACCGGGGGCCCCCATGCCCCCCCTTTTTTTTTTTTTTTTTTTTTTTTTAATTTTGAGACAGTGTCAAAGCTGTGGAAATGGAGGGTACAAGGGATTTTTTTCCCCAGCACTGTTTTCGAGTTAGCTGCTGGCCTGATGTCCTCTCATTCATTGCAGATGCCTGAGCGTGTGTTTGGCACATTCTCCTCATTACCACCGGTCGAAACCAGGAGATGCCCACAGCTCCCCTGTGACTGTCTGGTCTGCAGGCCCCATCCAGATTTCGCCAGTTGTCCCGCTGTTGTCCTTTATAACAAAGGATCCAACCCAGGATCAGAAGTGGTGTTTAGCTGTCAGCTCTGTTTCATCTCCTTCAGTCTGGGCATATTCAGCCCGTTTTTGTTTGAAGTTTTGGCCTTGATCCTTTGGAAGCATACAGGTCAGCTGTGTCCCAGAATGTCCCTCCAGTAGGGTTTTTCATGTTGAGATTCTGGTCTCGTATCGCTGGCAGTAGTGGTACAGCCGTGAAGCTGTGCTCATCTTGACGAGGCTGTCATGAGGGCACAGTATCAGTTTGCTCTGTTGGGGTGGGGCAACTTCGGCCACCTGATTCAGGCGAGGAATGCCAGGTGTCTCCACCTTGATGTGGTTCTTTCGTGTTTAATTACTGAGTCGCTCGCAGAGAGATAGTTTCTGTAAGTGATCATCAGTGCCATCTTATGGTTTCCCATGTTCTTAATGGTGATTATGTTACAGTCATCATTGATATTGATGTTCAAATTACCCATCTGTGGCCAGGAGGAGCCCCTTCAGTGTGGCTTCTGGGCCTTTGGGCATGTCCTGTTGTCCTGGGCTAGCTCCTCACTTTCCAGCACATGAGTCGTTCCAGGTTCCTCTCGTATTGTCCCTGCTCCAGCTCTGCAATTGGCCATTTCTCCCAGGAGCCTTGGTTGCCTGTGGAGGAGATCTGGGTGCTAAGTGTACTCGCGCCTTGGGTGTCACTGCTCCCAGGTCCCCAAGGGACAGCGCTGGGAGTACAAGCACATGATACGTACTCACACATGCCTGCATGCGTAGACATCACACACACACCGCTCATGCTTATGCCTGCATCTGTCATCTGTAAATTGAAAACCATGACAACACCACCGACTGATCCAAGTTTTCTCCCCTTATTTCTCCCCCTATTTTTACCTCTCTAACAGTGAGAAACCTGGATCCCATTGTCCTCCCTAGGTTTACCTGTTCAACCATTTTCTCTGTGTGTGACCAATCTGTAGCTGCTGTGTCCTGTCACATGGCCCCATCCAGGGCTGTAGCACCCCATGCTGGGCTGTCCCCTTCCTCCCTGACCGTGTACTGGAGGCTGCCTTTCCCCTCAAGGGCTGTGATCCCTGTACCACGCTGTCCCTGGGAGTACACCTCTTCACTTGCATGGGCTGTCACAGCCTGATCTGTGCCTCACTGTGGGGATACCTCCTCACCCCGTGTGGGCCCTGACAGCCTGTGCCAGGCCACCACCCTGAAGGGACACCTCCTTACCCAAGCAGAGTGGGCTGGTCTGGGTCACCATGGTCTGCCATCCCCTGCACACATGTACCCTGCTCAGCCCCATGCTCCTGATGGAGTTGTTTAGGAGGGGAGTGATGTAGTACAAAGAATGTTTTTAAAGAGAACTGCAGCTACTGAAAGGAGAACAGCTTGCAGTTCTGGCTGTGGGAGCCTGTGTGGAAGCTGTCCCAGTGACTGGGGAGAGGTGGCAGGGCAAGGCCCAGGCCAGGGACACACACAACAGATGGCAAGACTGGTGGCTGGGCTTGTAGGGCACAGAGAGACCGGGATCAAGGGAGGGCTGGGGTCCTGGCCCTGTCTCCGGAGCTGGGGAGGCTGTCGAACTTGAAGTGCTATTAGAAAGTCCAGGCAGACATGGGTCCCAGACAGTGAGAGACAGCACTGGTGTTGGAAATGGAGATGGCAATTTGAGAGATTTCTGGGAAAGTGACCAGTTGTAATAGTAAGAGAAGATGAGATCTCTTAGGAAGAAGAAGAAGAGAGGAGAGCGGGAAGGATCCATGGCCGAACAGCAGGAGGTGGCATTTCGTGGGTAGTGGGAAGCCTTGGGAGTTTTTTGAGCTGTAATGCAGTTGATCTATCGCTGTTAAACCTAGCGTCTAGTCAACTTGTCTGTCTGCTTGAACATTTCCAGTGACTGGGAGACATTATTCGTTGGACACTTGTTTGGGTATTTCCGCTTGTATTAAATGCTAGAAATCTGTCTGTTAATTTCCATTCCTTGGTCTTAGGCAGAGGAGTGCTTTGTCATAATTTCCGACCAGGTGTCCTTCTGCTCTGCCAGAAATCATGCCTCTCGCCATCTGTTCTCTGCTTAAAACTCTTCAACAGTCCCATGTGACCACAGTCTAGGTCTAAGCTCTTTTGCCTCCGTCCCTGGAGGCATCCTTCAGGATCTACACACCCCGCTTTGATGAAAGCAATGGGATTTTGCTGTCTCTTTTGGAAGCCATGTTGTGTGGTCTGTGGATCTGCTCGCCTTTTTTTGAACATGAGCTGCTCTCAAATCTCCATCGTTTGCACCTTGCCTATTTGAAATGTTTTAAACCTAAACAGAAGACTTGTGTATTCCAGGGAAGCTGTGCTGGTTGTTGTCTGGTGGGTGGAGGTCATTCTGAGCCTTGGCTCCAGTGCTGTGACCGCCTTGGATGTGATGTGTCTCTCTGAGTTCAGCCAGGCCGTCCAGAGATGTGCTCATGTTGCTGTCCTTGTGCTGGGGAGCCTCTTTGGCCTGATCTTCACAGGGACAGGGGTGGGGTGGGGTCTGCTTTGGGGCCCCTGGGGCTGGGAGTGGGAGCTGGGTTAGCTGTCCTGTGGGGCACTGCCCTGTGGGGCTGCCCTGTCTTGGAAAGGAGTCAGACCCTTCCTGGATGGTGGGGGCGGCACGGTTGATCTGTGCACAGCATTCTTGGCCAGATAGTGAACTCTCCCTGCACTGTGCTTCCCTCTAGCTCTTTAGTCAGGAGACGGTGATGAAGTTTGTGCCGCGGTACAGCCTCGTCCTAGAACTCAGCGACAGCGGTGCCTTCCGGAGAAGCCTGCATGATTCCGACGGGCTGGTGGCTGCCTACGTCAGTAAGGTGCATGAGCACGACGGGCACCTGTACCTGGGCTCTTTCAGGTCCCCCTTCCTCTGCAGACTCAGCCTCCAGGCTGTTTAGCCCTCCCAGATAGCTGCCCCTGCCATGTAAGCCAGGAGTCTTCACACTAAGGCACCAGGCCTGGTCCAGGAGGAGCTGTGGACACAGTCATGGTTCAAGTGTCCACATGTACTTGTCAGTCCCTGAGGGATGGTGGGCATGGCTGCTTCATCCCTTGAGGATGCCCGGGCACCATCTGGGCTCATCTTTCTGTTTAGAGGGAAGCATAACATAACTGCCACCGGGAAGATAAATTCATGTGAAGCAATTTTCTCTTAAAAAAAAAAAACAAAGCTTTCTAAGTACAATCATTCTCTAGGACTTGGGAAGCTCCTTGCACTTGGAACAGGGCTCAGGTGGGTGGAGCAGTAACACACTGCCCAGGAAGTTTGCTGCTGTGGCCCTGTCCTGCGGCCTCAGAGTCCTTCTTTACTATTCTTTAACATGCGGTCATACCTTTATTGGGGTGGGAATGGAAGAGCAGAGGGAGCATGGCCCAAGGGTGTTGAGGCCAGCAGTGAGAGCTATGTAAGCCAAGACTTGGAACTGTGTTCTCAAGGGTTGTGTGGGACGTGGGCTCTCCATAGTGTGTAGGAAAAGCATGTTGACTAGCGGCTCAGAGAGGACTTTGCTGGGTTTCTTTCTGTGAATATCTCCGCACTGACCATGCTGGAATTGGATGCTTCTGCAATTTGGGACCTACTGCAGGGGTCTGTTTAGTGACGTCCTGTCTATGACCTTTGTTGTTGACCTCTAGACCCCAAGATGTGAACAGTGCACGTGTTAATGTCATCTTTGCTCATGTGTTATAAGCCCCAAGTTGCTGTATATTTTCACAAGTATGTCTACACACTGGTCATGATTTTGATAATAAATAATGATAAATTGACTTCTGCTGATTAACCTTTTTTGATGGTGTGGCCTGGGAGTTTCTTCTCTACTTTAATTAACAGTACTGAAGTTTAATTCCATCAGGTGTTGATGTAAGGATTGTCTTGGTGAGGATGATGTTTTAAGGCCAAGTAGTCCATCCGACTAGCTCAGGAAGGAAGCGGCGGGACCTCTCTCAGGCAGCCATCTTCAGGCAGGGAGCAGGCAGCCTTAGGCCATCTGCTCTTGACGTTGACTCCTTGTGGTGTAAGTTGATATTACACTTCTCTCCTGTTTTCCAGCCTATGAAATGGGGCTGACATCTCCTTTCTTTCCTGGGTATTTGTGAGAGCAATAGAGATTGTGCCTCCAAAAATGTTTGGAATAACTTCACAGAGACAGTATTTTAAATGGATACTAATAAAAGTTAGAAAGAAATCAGATAAATATGTAATGATACAGAAATTCAGAGAACTGATAGCTGTGGTAACATCGGGACCATCTGTGTGCATTGGCTGGCCTTAGACTCCTGTACCCTCCTCTCCCCTGAGTGGTGGCCAGGCCCTGTTGGGGAAGAGAGCCGGGAGTCTGGTGGTTAATTCCTCCCAGTACTGGTCAGGCCCCGTGTTGGGGGAAGAGAGTTGGGAGTCTGATGGTTAATTCTCCCAGCACTGGCCAGGCCTCATGTTGGGGAAGAGAGCCAGGGGGTCTGATGGTTAATTGTGTGTCCCCCCTTCTCGAGGCTGGCTCCTGGGGGCAGCACCAGTAGGACAGAGGCAAAGATGGGATTCTGTCTAGTTGGTGTGACCCACATTGTGTCAGATGAACAACTCAAAATTTTTTATGTGACTCTATAGGAAAGAAAATTAGTGGTCATTAGTAATACTTTTAGTAACAAATGATGTACCTTGTATGTCAAGTATGCAAAGAAAGTAAGATAATACCTAATCATTCTGTCATACAAACAATGTAAATGTACTGGGCTTATAGGTAGACTTCCCTTTTCAAATTGAGAACAGAGAGCTTTGCTTTCAGTGCGTAATTTTCACAAATATAAAGAAGCTGGCAAACTGTTATTCACAGTTTTCAGCAAAGGAGTCTTGATTTTGACTTAGCTGTTGATTTTCTGTCTCCAAGTGTCATTTCCTGTGTTTTATCTGGTAATTTGACATGGTGAGGTGTGAAATAGAGTCTTCTTATTAGGTTTAAATTTGTGATATGCTTTTGCTGTAAACATAAAAGGGATTCGTTGTAACGTGAATTACTAACATGCTCTTAATCGGGTAACTCATCGTGTGCCTCTGTTATCCCTTACAGAAACTCCATCAAGATTCAGCTATTACATTTCATAGGACAGAGATCTCAGTTTGAGATTTTTATCGTCAGCTTACACTTGCAGAGTGGTCTGTAGTTCTGAAAGTTGTTCACATATGTTGACTCTTAATGATTCCAGAAGACATGGCCTCATTGTACCAATGGGAACTGAGGCTCCGAAGGGTTAGGTTAGTGACTGCCAGAGTCACAGCTAGCACAGCTGAGCCAGCCTCCTGGGGATGTGACTGGAGAACGCACGGGTGAAGCTGGGAGCAGGGGTGACAGCAGCTGGCTGTGCAGTGCCCCCGCAACCTATGGATCATGGCAGGGCACTGACTCAAACCTTGGCTGCACAGCAGAGTCCTCTGGGGTGCCCAGGTCTCAAGGTGGCCCAGTCTGACACTTCTTCCAGTCTTCTTCCAATCCTGGTGCCCTCCAGCCCTCGGCGGCCTCTCCCTCCTCCTGCACGCCCAGCACAGTCATCTTCAGTGGGGCGCCCTCTCTGGAGGGCTCTGGAGAGTGGTCTGCTGCTCTGCCCCCACTCAGGCAGCAGGGCAAGTCCCTGCGAGGCCCGAACCTCAGGGAGGCACAGCCGTGGCCCTGCTGCTCCTGGTGTGGACAGCTCACCTCTTCTGGGGCTTTGGCCTTTGGAGGGTTATAGCTAGCAGCTCAGGCTGCTCAGGCCCCCAGAGGAAGTAATTTCAACTTGTCAGAACCCTTGGTAAAGGGGATCCCTGGTAAGGCTTGCCTCACCTCCCGATGCTCCCCTAAAAGGGCCAGCATGGCTGCTGCTCGCTGTTCATCTTGATTCCCAGCTGTGTTCATCACAACAGGCCAAGGTGCCCAGTGGCCAACGGGGTCCCTGCCCACAGCTCTGCCGCTGATTCAGACCCAGAGCTGTACCCTGCTCTCCTGGGGGCCTGTAGCCACGGCGGCTCATCCCTTACTTTCACAACTCCCTTCATTGGCTCAGTCCCCTGCACCCAGACCCGGAATCTAGGTGTGCAGTCTCAGAAACAGGAGTTAATTTTAGAAGCAAATGTGATCTATTTAATCTGTTAGGAGGCTCTACCATGCTCCCATTCCAGCTGCCCTGCAGAGACCCAGCGGCACTTCATCTGCTCACTCGTCAGAGGCCTGAGAGGGTCTGTGAGGCCGGTCATGAGATGGGTGGGAGTGGACAGGGAGCACGCATCCTGGTGTTTGTCATGGCTGTGGTCTTGCTGAAGAGGCGGGGGTCGGTGACAACGGAGAACAGGCACCTCGAAGTGCTGGAGCCAGGGCACGACCCAGACTTCAGAGTAGCAGCTCAGAGTCTGAAACAGAAGGGCACACCTGAGAGCTCAGACTTTCCCTGGTGAGCCCTCTGCCCGTGGAGGGGTGCTCCTCACAGAGGAGCTCTTCTCCTGCCCCTAGTTTTCATTTTGAAAAATTTCAAACCTACAGAAAACTTGAATGATTTAAGAAGATATGCTTTTCACCTCTATAATTGCTGAATGTTGCCATGTTTCCTTTCTCTTGCTCTCTCTGCAGAGATATGCTATATATGATATCTATCGTATATATCATATACATGTATATGATATATATATATAATTTCTGGATTGTTTGAAAGCTTTTCTTACTCTAACCCTTTCCACCCGCACCCCAGGACGCTCTTCCCGAGCTGTGTCTCCGCCTCTAGGACAGGAGGATGTCGTCTGAGGAACTCCTGGCACAGGCTCTACCTCCTGTTTGCTCTTCCCGCCAGCTGTGTCTCCGCCTCTAGACGGGAGGATGTCAGCTCTGAGGGAGCTCCTGGCACAGGTTTCACTCTCCTGTTCTCCCGGATCCTTGGTCATAGCGGAGTTCGAAGGCCTGGTCACTTGTGGGGTGAGGTTTGGAGTGCTAAAGTTAGAGAAATGGTGACAGGGAGGTTTTTCACAGCCCTGGGAGGGAGTGGGCTGGGGAAGAGAGGGCGACCTGAGAAGGGCCTGCTGCTTTACCCGCCCAATGTTTGGCTGGGCTTTGGAAGTCACAGTTGTCCAGACGCGGGTGCTGGTTTTTCTTGCAGGTAGTTCTGCTAATTTCCACCTCAAGCATGTATTTCAGGCCTTTCACTATCTGTAGGCAGCAAAGGGGCTGGGTTAGTGGGCACAGGGGAGGGAGGGCAGGCTCCTCCACTAGCAAGCGGGGCCTCAAGACAGTGGTGCAGGTGCCCACCCAGGAGAAGGGAAGTGGGCTGGCGTCTTGGGGCAATGCTTCTGGCTTACGGCAGAGCCTGCAGACCCTTCCCACTCCCCTCCCTGCCCGTGCTGGGGTTCTGCCCCTTCTTGAGACAGGTGTCTCCTTTCTGCCCAGAGCTCTGCACTCAGGAGGGATGTCACACTAGGTCTCCTGCATGCCCTGCTGAGCCCGCCCTGCAGCCCTCACTCCAGCCCCATGATGGCTGTTTCTTGTGGCCTCTGTGTCAGGCCTGGGGTCTGTGGGCTTCCCTTCCCCATTCCTGGGGTTGGAAGTTTTGAGTTTCTGGACAGCCCTTCTCCACTTGGATATGGCAGCCGCCTGGTTCTTTCTCATTTGTGGTCTCGGAGGAGTTGAAGAAAAATTCCTCAGGTTTTAGTCTCAGCTCTAGGGAAATTACATTGTCTCCAATATCGCCAAGCTGGAGAGGGACAACCTCCAAGCCCCCTCCCAGAGAACCCCGAGGACTCAGGCCCAGGGCATCCTGCTGGCCTCCCGGAGAAGGAGGGAGGGCCTGCGTCACTCAGGCCAGGCTGTAGAGTGACGACCCTGGCTACACGCCATACTGCCTTCTGTAGCGCGCTTCTCATAGGAAAGCATGCTGCCCTTCACAAGTTTGCAATTGTCAGAAATAATTAGGTTATAAAAATCACCCCGACCTGTGACCCAGCATAACCATGAACACTGTGAAGACTGCCTTGGACAGGGCTGCTTCTGTCCCTTCCCTCCAGGCGCCAGCATGCGGTGGTGGGTGTCATCCACAGCCTGTGTCCCACATTAGCAAGTGGGTGTTCTCAGGACACAGACGAGCAAGGCCTGGCTGTGTCCCAGAGGGTCCCCTAGGAGGGAGGGTGCTGAGCAGGCACAGTAAAAATGAGTCGGAGAAAGGGCAGTGGCTTGGGCAGAGCTCTGGGACTCTGGGATGTGAGTGAGCACTCCAGGGGAAAGTGGCAAGGACACTTCTGGGCTGCAGGGCACGTGAGGGGTGAGGCCAGATGGGGACCCTGGTCCCAGCAGGGACAGCTCCTCGGACAGTGGCTTTCTCCCCCGTCAGCCTTGGCGCCCACCTCCAGGAGCCCCATTAGGGCCCTGGCGCCTTCTTACCCCATGCCTAGTGGGCTCTGGGCCAGGGGCCTGGTAACTGCCGGGGAGCCGTGTGCTTTGTGTAACCTTTGTGCCTTGCCCTGGGGGATGCTGGCCTCGGCTGCCGCTGTCCACTCCAACCCCTTATGCATCTGCTTTCTGCCCAGAGTTCTGCACTCAGGAGCGACTTCACATTACATCCGCCCTGCTTGCCTAGGTGTCGCATGGTAGCAACTCAGCTGCTTAGGGCTGTTCATGACATGTGACCAGAACCCAGACCGTTACCTGAACTAGGGCCCTTGTAATGCGGGACTCCTTGAACAAGAACTTGTCGTTCGTGCAGTTGTTGAACTTCTCAACACTGTGTCTGGCTGCTTGGAGGACTCCTGGGTTGTTGGT